GAAGATAACCAGTGAGAAGGAGAGTGCATTTCCCTGGATTTCCGTTATCAGATACCACATCTACCTGTAATTCAAGAAAAAAGATAAATAAAATCAACATAGAAGGCTGAAAATTGATAAATCCAATTATCATGTGGATTGAACTATGAAAATCAGTTCAAACCTTCTGCGCCATGAGGTAAGGCCGTTGAGTTCGCCAGTGAGGAACCTTAAGCCTCTGCTCTTTGAAGAGCCATAAGAACTGCAATATAACAATCAAATGGAAAGAAACATGCGGATTAGAACATCAAAATGGGCATATCACGTCATATGCTTAAAGTTGTGTTTAACATTGATATATTGCAGCCAAAACACTAGATGAAATATTACCTTGTGCAGTTCATCCTTTGTATCAGCTGGATAAAATTTACAGTCCTCTGGAAATTCTGAGGCAAGACTAGAAATACAACTCTTCTTTATCTCATGTCTATGCTTAATTTCACTGGGTAGATCCTAAAGGAATGTAAAGAAAATTTTCCACATCAATGTGTATATACAAAACCTGATTTAGTTCTCTGGGAAATGACAGTAAGATCATGTAAGTTGTTTTATAGAGCCTGGCAGATATCATCCACCCTAACTTACACGAATGAAGACAACAGTACTTGGCAAACCAAGAGACCTAAAGACAGAAAGGCATTGATCTCCAAATGAATCGATGTAGTAGGAATCACGTTCTGCATATAAAGAGTTTGTAGATGCCACAAAAGCCATCAGATCAGCAACCTATGAAATAAATAGTCAGAAAATACCCAATGCTTTGCACTTCAGGTGCCATCGAAACCATGAAACAAACAGAACAAGCAAAAATTAATACCTTGGCCATTTCAAGACACAATCGTAGATCACCATGAGGTGCTTTTAGTACCTAGAGTATAAAATATTTGGTCAACAAAAATATTCTCCATAATATATCTGAGAAAATGACTTCCATTCAAATCATAATAGACTACACTTGTTCACCACGCATAGGCTTATGTTTAAACGCATGCAAATGAATACCTTCAAAACCCTGTGATGTCCTAAGTAGATTACACGTTTACAACAAAGCAGACAAACTGAGCCTTTTCATATGCAAATATGCAGTAGAAATACAAAGAAATAGTACATGAAAAACCAGAGGTACAATAAGATGGCAATATGACATACAGTTACTCTAGTCCTATATTCAGAACTTGCAACTGTTCCTGATGCCACCGTAACTGCTTCTTCAGATAGTAGTGATAAAAGATCTTCAGCAATTGAATCTAAATCCACAGAAGAAGAAAGCCCAAACAGAACCTGTCATCCATAAAAGATAAGAACATTCTAGCAATGCACTCAGTACAGTTATGTGGAAATGAACCAAAACAATAAACCAAGTTAAGAATAATATCTGATGAATGTCAAATTCGTTCCAACAAAAATACAGGTTCACTCACTATTACTCTGGGAGGATTTCTTGATCCACTAAGTTCTCTTCTTTCTTTCATAAGGGCTGCCCTTTTCTGGTCACGTATCTGAATTTACAAACTATGTGAGGCAAATGTAACACAGAGGGGGGGGGGGGAATTAAAGTGATAGAATATGAGAGCAAGAAACAGATAGAGAGAAAGATTACCATTTTACTTCTCTGTAATCGAGCCGCTCGAGCTCCTTTGACATTACTGCACTCTGTTTTTGCTATCAAACTCTTCTCTAAAAAAAATCCAATTTCACAACAAAAAATAAATATCTCAGTAAGTTACTACGTGATAGGATGAAGACGGAAGTACCACCATGATTTCACATCAGAAGTCAAAAACTCAGGTGCAGAGTCTAAAGTAAACTGAATTGGCATGAAAAATCAAAAGAAAATTCCTGAATTTGTGTAAAGATATCGGATCAACCACCCTTTCACAAAAGCTTCAACAAATGCCATTTAAAAAAAAAAAACTGTTATACTCAAAAATAACATTTAATCAAAAAAACATGTGAAGTACAAACTCCAAAGGCAGAGAAAACACAGTATATAAACCTTTGACAGAGGTTCTATGTTGATGCCGAGAAGATTTAGAAGAGAAGGGGACTTGTGACGCTTATTGATTTGATCTCGGGACCCTCCCATGCTGAACACAGTTGTGAGATCCTTGTTACCCTGTCGGAACCAAATTCATGAGAAAATCGGCTAAATTTTTATTAATAAAATGAATTTGAACCTATTTGTCAAGTTCTCCTGTTTGAACTTTGAAAAGGAAGTCCCAACAACATCCATGGAATTCAATTAAATAGCATTGTTTGGATGGCATTGTAAACCCCAAAATTCAATTACTTCAAAATCTGTAATATTATGTTTCCAATGAGCAGAAAAACTCTGCGATGAAAACATATGCATGTTGAAAGGCACGTACAGTAAAAGAGCCGCAAACTGCTGGTCAGGCATATAAACAATGAAAAGCCCGTATGAAAGGGTTTAGTGACCACAACCGTCACACTGTAACTTTGGAAAATCAAAGAGAACAATCAAAGACGTTGGGATTCAAGATGGCACGCCAAACCAGTAGATACTCTAAGAGCAGGAAAAGGAGTTCGAGAATGCTGCTGTGCGATAAAGCTCATAAATAAAAGCATAGCATGATAGCAATAACTAACGATGGAAGAGGAAGGCAACCTTTCTTCGTTAGGGAGGAGAAAATAATGGCTGACGGCAGCGAGAGATGGTCGCAGCGGGCGACAACGCAAAGAAGAGGCGCGATGAAAAGAAGCAAAGACAAGGGTTTTTCGTTGGCGCGAGCACCGGGAATGACCGAAGGAGGGTTTATTTGCTTTTTTTTTTTTGGCTTGATTTTTGTTGTTCTTTATATAAAGACAAATAACCGAAGTACGTGATCAAAAACAGTTAAAATTAGTTAAGAACAATTAATTATAAAAAGTATAATTTTTTTTTCCAAAATGCCCTCATATAGGAGAGAGAGCATGAAGAGAACATTAAATTATTAAAAGAAAGAGAATTGGGAGGGAGAGAGAGTGTGAGTTGGAGAATAAAATGGGTAAATAGTAAATCAACACAAAAAGTAGAGACAACTTCTAAGTGTCTCTTATATATAGGAACATGGCATAAGCATCAAGTTCTCTTATAATAAGGAACGGAGGGAGTTATAATTACTGTACTTATTTTTTAAAAAAATCCAAAACTTTAAAGTAAAAAAAATTGCAAATAGAGACTATTATCACTGACAATAATTAACATTAACAATTAACAAGTAAATGACAAATCTTGTGAATAGGTGTTTGCATGCAATTTTTTAATTTTCAAAATCTTTTTTGCGATTTTCTTTACTTTGCATACACATAATAACTGTAATTATATTGTATTATAACATAATAATAATTCTAATCAATTATCAGATATATACACACAGTCTCGTTTTGGCAAATGTATACAAATAGTCAATACTCTTGAGTCTAAATCAAAATTATTTACTTTTGGTAAAAAAAAATCAAAATTATTACCGATACCGTTATCAACTGAGCATTGATAGTTGTTCGTTTTTTTCCTACTTTTAAGATTTTTTTTTTTTTCCAAACTAGAATCGGTATCTTTCAAACATAAGATTTGTGCATTGATCCTTGCGCATGACTTATAATCACAACACGTCGTCACATGCTAACAAGAATTAAACGCCAAGCATTAAAATCTAACCTTTTTTGGTGTACAAATCTATTCCAATTTTATCTCATCTTAGGATGCAAGGAGGTTATAAGATAGAAGACTGTGCAGTGTATATTATTAAATCCAGATAAAGAATCTCATGATCTATCTTGTTATAACTTTTATACGAGTATATACATATATACAAGATGCAAGGAGCTTTATATTTTCGAAATCTAATTTCACGGAATAATATATTTGAAATTTTTTCAATAAAGGCCAAAACTGAAAAGATGATTGGCCAAGATAAAGATTAAAAGATAAAGAGTTGAACTAACTGAGCGTTAACTTGAAAAAAAAAAACAGAAGAAAACAAAAAAAACAAAAGCGAAGTCGCATCTAATCACATCATATTCGGCGGAGTAAAAAATGAATAAACAAGAACAAATTGTTCTCATCCTTTGGTGTCTTTTTTCACTGGGTTTTCATGCCTTTCATAATTTGATGGACTAATTATATAATTTCTTATCCAATATAAGGGCCTATTTAGCATGGTAGGAGACTTTTAAAATGATTGAAATTGAAATTATATCCGAAACAACTGTAAAATTAAATAAAATTGGAAAAACAGATTAAAAAATGTTTTAAAAATATGTTTGATATATGGTAAATATGCATGTAGCACCACAATCTTTTTTCTCAGGTGCATCTAGCACTCTGATCTTTTTTATGATACACCTAGCATTCTGATTTTTTTTTTTAGTCCATCTCACCTCGACATTATTTTTTAAGTACATCTAACACCTAATTTTTAGAATGTTGAATGTACTAAAAATAAGATTAAAGTGTTGAATGCATAAAAAAAATCAAAATACTAGATGCATTATAAAAAAGATCGGAATGCTGAATATACTTAAAAAGATCTGACTGTACCCTTTGATATAAACTAAAAAGCAAAAATGCTTGCCTCACATCCCTCTTCCATTGCTGAAATTTGTGCGAGGATCATGAGGGGGCCGGCTTGGTGAGTTCAATGGAGAAAACCAAAATTTGTGTGATCACTAGGAAAAATGTCGCCGTTGGAAGGAAGCGACGATGAGGATTGGATCCTAATGCAGATTCAGGAATCCATCATTTCCCCACCCCGCACTCTGACTATTATATTCCACTCTCATCATTTCTTGACTGTCGTCCCCGCATTACCAGTCATCGCTGACCTCAGAAAACGTCGAAGCTAACATACTCAGTGACGATCACAAAATTCCATATCACTGACACCTGGAAACAGGATCTCTTCCTCATCTGCTATATATATTTGCATCGATCGGTGTTGTGATACTGAAACATATATTCTCACACGCATTCTTGAATCACTTAAATGGCCGCACCATCCATGCCTCGCGTTAAGCTTGGATCCCAAGGCTTTGAGGTATTTTCTTTGACCGTCTTGGTACCATACAATGTAATTTTATTTTCCATTCGCCTGGCTAATCTTTGCAATTGACAGGTTTCAAAGCTGGGTTTTGGCTGCATGGGACTAAGTGGCAGCTACAATGAACCTCTTCCTGATGCCGTTGGAATCTCTGTTATCAAGCATGCATTCGCTCAAGGAATCACATTCTTTGATACTGCCGATGTTTATGGAGCCAATGCTAATGAAATTCTCGTTGGCAAGGTGAGCAAACACGATGTCCTTCCAGATTTTAGGCTCTTCGATTTATTATGAAGAAGACTTTTGCGTCAAATGGGTTAGTTTCTTTCGAATGCGTAAAATTCTCGTTTTGTTGAGCAGGCCCTGAAGGAGCTGCCTAGAGAAAAGATACAACTAGCAACCAAGTTTGGCATTGAAGAAGCAAATTTCTCTAATTTCCAATTCCGGGTCAATGGCACGCCTGAATATGTGCGTTCATGCTGCGAAGCCAGCTTGAAACGCCTTGGTGTTGAGTACATTGATCTTTATTATCAACATAGGGTGGACACATCAGTTCCTATAGAAGATACGGTTAGTCGTTTCTGCCCCTTATGACTGTCTATTTCTATCATGGCATTGTGTTAAGCCTCAATGAAATTTACAAGTTTAAGGAGCTCTACTGAATGGGCTAGTCTTTTGAGATGGATTTTCTCTTTAGATTTGTAGTTGTAACGCCACGGAGAATTCTGACAGGCACATGACTAATATAATAATGTGTTTTTCATCTCATGTTATAGGTAGGTGAACTGAAGAAGTTAGTGGAAGAAGGAAAAGTCACGTATATTGGGTTATCAGAAGCGAGTCCAGATACAATTAGGAGGGCGCATGCTGTTCATCCCATCACAGCTCTGCAAATAGAGTGGTCCCTTTGGACTCGTGACAGTGAAGAGGAGATAATTCCGCTCTGTAGGTTAGTTCTACTTTGTGTCATGAATCTTTATTCGTAGTAGGTAATAATATGAACAGTATCTTCAATTACAAGCAGCTGCTTGAACAGAGTTAAAAATTACAATTACTTTGTCACTGTTGGCTACATGTTTGTCTATTCAGTTAGTGTGGCTGATAATGTGAGTCCACTCTTGTGATGGACTTTTTCTGCAGAGAGCTTGGAATTGGAATCGTGCCATATAGCCCCATTGGCCGTGGCTTCTTTGGTGGCCGAGGAGTTTTGGAGACTCTGCCTCCGGCTAGCAGCCTGGTATACAATATAACTACTCTCTTGTTTTGTTTTTCAATCATCAGTTGAAAGTTAGTTTAGTCTGTTCTTCGTTTAATTTGGCCTGGATTTCTTCACTTCAAGAACCAAGGCTTGTCTGATAGTTGTTTCTTGTACATATCAGAACTCACATCCGCGCTTCAAGGCAGAGAACTTGGAGAAGAACAAGAAGATATATGAAGGAATGGAAGGCTTAGCTAAGAAGCACCAATGCACTCCTGCTCAGTTGGCTTTGGCATGGGTACTCCATCAAGGCAGTGATGTTGTGCCTATCCCTGGTGAGTGCCTCCCAATACTCCTCCTTAAATCAGTATCCAAGGACAGAACTGGAATTAGATTCTTTTGGAATAAGCCATTATTCTGCATAACTCTGTCTAAAGCTTCTCTGCAAACTCGGAACAGGAAAGAATCTATGTAGTTTTAAAATATTTCGTGGTGTTGAAGTTGTTTGTGCCAATCATTTGTACACATCGGAGTTATTATGTATCTTCTCGGTCGCAATCTTACATGTTTTTGTCATCTGATGTAACTTTCATGGATTTTCGTAGGGACAACAAAGATTAAGAACCTAGATCAAAATGTGGGTGCCTTAGCAGTGAAACTTTCAGATGAGGACCTCAGAGAAATTTCGGAGATGGTTCCTATTGATGAAGTGGCAGGTGATCGTTACTTTGATAAGCTGGACAAACTGGGCTGGAGGGTCGCCAACACACCTCCCAAGAATTCTGGGGTCTCAACTTGAACCCCTTGGAAATTCTACAATTTGTGTCCTGAATGCAACCATGTCTTTAAATATGAACAAGTCATACCAAAATCTTATGCAAAACTTGCATGTATGGGAATGATTAAGATGAATAGTAGCCTTTTTGGCCAAAACAAAGAAGGAAAAATAATGGCCTCGTGCTTTGTAACATGCCCTAAAGCATATCAATCAATCAATTGTAATATGAATAAAAATTGGTTCTGGCTTCGTATCTTCGCATGATCTATATGACACGACTATCGTAAAAAGGTTTGATCAGCAGAGGCTGCTCAGCAATGAGTAGAATTTGCAGAATAAAAACCTAGTCGACTGAAGTATCGAAAAGTAATCATTTTGATTTGCCGAAAATCAAGATGTTGAATAGCATCGGTTATATCTCTGTAATTATTATCAACAACTATTTTCTTTTCATTATTGCATTTTATATGGAGCAAAAAAAAAATTTGGTTTGCATCTCTGTGTGTCTTGCCTTTCGATTACTGTCTCATGGTCACCGAAGGAGAGTTGAAAAAGCTAGCTAAGGTTAAAAGTCATGCTGGTGACTGACGGCGCTAACAACCAATACGGGTTTTGGTGGTTTATACTTTGTGTGCATATTAATATGTATATGTTTATGTATTGCTAAGAACTGGTATCTTCTGGTTAAAAAAAAGTATTTTTCTATTAATGATAATCCTGTTTAATATAATTTCAGGCATTAAATGTAGGCACATCTTTTATTGGTGATCTGAACCTTTATTCGTTATGTTGTGAATATTAGTCCTTTCTACTGGTTAATATATATTTTTGATGTAATATATATTGATGATATTTTACAAGTACGAAGCAAGAAGGTTCGGAGGAACTGTTGGAGAAAGACGATCCAGGCCTTGTAAAAATTACATTCATGCAGCCCATAAATCTCAACAAATACGGGCCCCAAATCAACTCCATCTTCATGGGCTTCTTAAATTTTAATCTCACGTTTTACAAAATAAAAATTCAATCCCAAATTATAATTTTTAACGTTGGCAAAAACAACTATTATCTCAGCTAATTTTCACAAACTAAAGTTGGGATAAAAATCAAGTTCAACATAAACTTGTTTTGATGGTATATTGAAAAATTAGTTTCAAAATTTTCAAATTCCAAGAAAAGTAGGAAGGCAGAACTGAAAGAGATCTTGCTTAAACTAACTTTGAAATGGCTTTTTGTAAAAAGTTAGCTGCTCTGAAAGTTCAAGCGTCCTTTTTATTTATATGGAACTAGCTTTTTCTAGTCCCAACTAACTTTTAAGGCTTCACAATGCTACCCCTAACATGCATTTGAGCGTTGATTTTATCCAAGTGGAAGAAAATATCCTTCTTCCATTAAAAACGCAAATATGTAATACTCGATTAATCTTATTTTTATTTGAATATACTACCTCCGATCCCAATTATAAGAGCTAGTTGACTAATTTGAGGATATTAAAAATAAGTTAAGTATGTAACAAATAGGTGTTATATTTCTAAAATATCCTTATTAATATATTGTATTAGCGATAACTACCATTGTTAGAATGATTATTTTGAAGAAAAAAAACATAAATATAAGAGACAAAATAGATTGAGGTCTTATATTTAGAATCAAAATAAAAGTCACATAAAGTCTTATATTAAAGACCAGAGGTAGTAGCTTACTGTCATTCCTCTTTAGTTTTTTTTTTAATTGAAGATTTCTCATTTATAATTTCTTTTATTTAGTTGCGCATTGTGCATTAAAATGAGACCGTCGTAATAAGACTCAAAGAATCAAGGAAGGAAAAATAGGAGGGTGATGAAAGAATAGGACAAGCCAGTAATGGTAAAGAAGGCAGAGAGATATTTATCCATGCGTTATAAATGGCCAATGATGTCTTCACCAACAATCCCCACCAAATCTATTGCTTTCAACAAAATAAAGATGCGATCTTTGGCTACATATCGTTTCCTTCAGCCTTATTCAGCCCAAACAATCCCCCCTCAATACGACACCACACGTCCTGTCGTCTCTCGTCAATTACAGTGCCCTCCCTTTCCCACGTTTTGATTATAGCCAGAATTATAACCCGGTTCTTATCACTTTTCCACGCCTTTTATTGCCCACCATGCACTATCCTAGCTTCCCTTGGTGCCATATCTTTTTTTTTCGTCCTCTCTTTCTTAAAATCTCCCACGTGTTATTCTAGGGAAGAAAACAGAAGAACGCTCGGAAACATTTGCCGTATATAATACTTTTTTTTAGTCTTAAATATAATGTAAATTATACTATAAAACAGATATTGTATTTAAGATTGAATAAGTGTTACGTATTCGTATATGAATAATTATACGGTAGTTTAATGAAGAGTAGGTGGTGGGAGAGACACAGGGTTGGATTTAATTTTAGGTGAGGGAGAAAGGACAAGTGAAAAACGGACAAATTGGGATGGGGTCTCGCGGGGCAAATGATATAAACAGAAGTGCGTACGTATTAGCAGAGGTGTGAGATAAATGCAGATTCTTTCCTATCGTGAAAATTTCTATGTGATAAGAGTTGATGGTGACGGATCCGGGCGATTCACATCCGCGTAAATCTTCCTTTGTTTTGCATGATGATTTCTCGTGTACAACTAAAGGGGTGTTTGGATAGAAACCAAACCATGGTTTCAGAAGTGTTTTTACGGATTACGAAGTAAATATGTGGAGGAGGTTATCTCGTTTTGCGGAAAAATGCTTCTGAAACCTAGGTTTTGGTTTTGCCAAACACCCCTTAAAACTACAGGGGGAACAATGGTAATGATAGAATGTAAAAGGAACAAAACAAAGCAAGTTGTGTGTTGTTTAGTTAATTAAGGGGGTCATTCGACTACTTAGTTAATTATATAGTCAAGATTTGAATTTTGTTTTGCGTGTAATTTGAGGGAATTATTGCATAAAATAGGGATTTAAATTGTTGAGAATAATTAACCGTAAGGGAATAATAAATCCACGGAGGTAGTGCATTCTGAAAAAGAAGGGACAAGTTGCAAAATGTCAGCATCATCATTCAAAATTAAAAGACAAGGCATGAACAACGTGCTCTGTTTTCTCATTGGTCGGCTCACTTGTCGTCTAGCAGCCCCATTCGGTGCTTCATTTGTGCTTTTGTCACAGCATTAAAAATTGTTACACTCTTTTTTATTCCCCCGGGGGGGGGGGGGGGGGGGGGGACTGTTACAGTCATTGAACACACTCGTTTTTTTTTTACCAGAAATACCCCAATTCATGAAAATATCTATATATAGATTTATTAAAAATGCATATTATTTTATAAAATATTCATATAGCAATTATACATAATGTAACAAACAAAGTTATTAAATCGCAAGCTCGACATATTTTTATTTTGTTAACTAAAACGGCATATTTAAAGATTAAATTCTGAAGATCTAACGGAATTTTTTGCAGAGACAGGCTGTCCCTATACTGAAGAAGATCTAATGAATTACCCTCTTTGGATACATATGTTGGGATTAAGGGTCTCTTATTGTAACAAACTGTCTGATTCTTACAAAAGTGATAGTTATTCAAATACGCAGAATAGTTTCTCCAGAGTTTGCTGAGATAAAGAGGCATACGCGGCCGTTGATCTTCCACGAGCTTCTCCTGGGGTGGACGGAGACCACCGTGTTGGGTCTTTACTCTTCACCTAGTACTCCGAGGAATGATCGAAATAACATTAAATTAAAATATCTTTTTCTTTTTTTTTTCTTTTTTGGCTATTCTGTTCAATCTTCACTTACAGGTGTCTCTTCCTCCTTTGAAATTTGGTTAATTGAAGATGTTTTTATTTTTTTTAAAAAAAAAACTTAACTTTTAAGGTCAACAGTGGCAGACCCAGTAATTCTATTCATGTTAAAAAGGGTAACTTTTCTATGTAAATTTTTAATTCAAAAAATAGAAATTTTGACCGGAGAAAATGGCGTTATTTATCATCATAACTCCGTTTTTATAATCTAATGCTGGGATATATCTAATGCATTATAGCACACTTGCGAGTTTTACGAATGGTTGGTAAATCAATATTGATTAAATAAACATGGAGGGATATATTTCTTAAATTTTGCCGTGATCATTAAAATTAAAAAATAAGATTGAGACATTAATTATGACTCGGAAGCACACCGTATTAGAAGTTTGAAGATTGAAGGATTGGGAGGGTAGAGAGAAGGCGGCGGCTATTTTTAAATTTATTATATATTATATCAATGGAAGGTGGACATCTGGCATGCTCAGACCAGATCGCTGTATGCAAACGGGGATCACATGCAGCTGCCAACGTTTTCTAATATTAATATACTCCCCCGGTTTTAGATTTATGAATTTTAAATTTATAATTTTTAAAAATTACTCTTGTTAATCACATGAATTAAATAAAATTTTATCATTGGGATAATAATTAAAAATAATACTTTAGAAAAACTAACATATATCCAAGAAACTACGTCGTTCAAATTCCCTGCATCTATTATATCAAGTCCTTCTAATAATATATAACTATCCGTCTTGTTTTATTCATGTATTTTTATAAATAAATGATAATATTTTTTTGAGTGAAAAGGAATTTTATTATTCAAGATATTTACAGTAGAGATACAACAACAAAAGAATTGAATGATAATATTTTAAAAATACAACATATAATCATATGTGATTGAAAAACTTGATATAATAAATATACAGAACTTGATACAAGTTTTGTCAATATATTTATTATAAATAACTAACTTAATTAATTTTTTAGTATTTATAGATTCATTGCTTATTTTTATATTTAGAATTAGAAGAAGTATATTTTTATACAAAAATGAAACAAATAGAGAAATAGATATCTGAAATAATTGTAAAAAGAATAGAAAAATGACAAAAATACTTGTTAAATTTCCAAATGACTAATCAGTGATTTTAGCATGTCAAAATCTTTATTAAAATAGTTGATATTTTCACAAAAACAGTGAGCACCACGTATTTATCATCTTAAAATTGAATAGGTATTTTATAGTCATCTGACTAAATGATAGGAACATACGTTTTGGAGGGATTTATTTTCTACTCTTTGAACGTGACAAAAATTAGTCTATGTCGATAACAAAATATACTGTATTTTTAAAAAGAAAAAGAGCGTTTTAAAAAGAAAAAGAATGCTAGCGACGTATTACCTCCGGTACTTAATATAACAGCTAGTT